ATAATACTCGTATTACGTGACTTAAAACGTGACATGGTAGGGATTTGTTGACATTAAACAGGTTTTTTCTGACATTGTGTAGCTTTTCCTAGAAAATATCACCCTTGAACTAGCTGACATTCGCTTCATTCTCAATTGTAGTAGGTTGGGAATGAACTAGCGGCTACCTAGTACACAAGTTGATATTTTTCCGATTTTTACTTTCTACACCATTGGGCGAGAAGTTTTGTAATCACAGAAAATGTCGAAATTGAGATATGGTTTTTGGATGTTATATGACAAGGTCGTAGGTGGTACATGGTCTCTGAATGTCGTACGCGGAGGTACCACCCGGCGGATCTCATACGCGGGGCCAGAATGTGTGCATGCTGCTTGCACTGGTGTTTCCTCGCTAGAGTCCGTGTGGCGCCTCCTCCTTTTCCCCTGTATATATCCCCCTATAGCCCCGAGGTACCTCATGGGGGTTGAGGCCTTAGGCCTTGGTGGTAGCTGGAGTGTGTATATATATATATATATATATACAGGGTGACTTCGAAGTTGAGTCATTTATTTTAACAGTGAGTAGATCTGATCAAAAGAAATGTTTTTTTCCTTTACCATTTTTCTGGTAAAATTAAAGTAACAAAGTTATAGCCCTTTGGAAGTTTGAGTACCGCCCTGTCTCAATGTGCTCGTGTTTGGCGACAACGGATATAATCCGTCGTATCGGTTCATCGCATCGGAAACAAAAAAGCGAAAGAATTTGGAACGAATTATTTCATTCATTTGTATACAGTAAGTGTCAGTGAATAGTTGTATCTGTTGCGTGGCTCAAACGAAATAAAAAATGGCACATGTTTATGCGGATCGGTTTCCCAATCGAGTGCAACCAACCCCTCGTGCCTTTGTTAATGTAGTACAACGGGCTCGTGAATCAGGTGACTTAAGACCTCACAGGGGACCTCACGATCAAATACAGGTCCGCACTGAAATACTTGTCGGGAGGATACTTTATAAAACAAGGTAAAAATTTTTTTTTAGTTTTATTTTTTATTTTTACACACATATTTTGGTTTATATTCCTTCTACAATCATTATCTGAAAATTAATGACTCAACTTCAAAGTCACCCTGTATATATATAACAAAAAGTATGAAAATATTGGGCAAAATCCGCAAGGAAAGTGGATTCGAGCAGAAAATAGGATAGGTAACCCGAGCGATACGTATTTCTGCTGGTTGGCTTCATCAGGCCTGAAATGAATGCACATATGAAACTAAAAAAGTAGATACACATGCCCACACATCCGGATACGGGTCTAACATGAGGAAACGAAGATGGAGAGGGAAAAAAACGAGACACGAAGTCCACAACAAGAGTCAACCTACACAGTGTAGAATAAAATGGCTAGAAAACCTCGAATTTTTAAGGAGACATCTAACCACAACCACACGGCCGGTTATAGCCACTTGCTGTGGTACTTCAAGCCCAAAGGATCTACAAAGAGAAAATGATCATGCGGAGAAAGGTATATAACAAAAAGTAGGAAATTTTTTGCCTTTTAAACATAGATTGGTAGAGAAATGTGTTCAATCCTCGTAACACTGCTATCCAAGCTCACCCCGACGTACCGGTCCGGATAACTAATCTATCCGTACTGCAGCTCACCAAACATATACACGGAATGAATGATAACTCGCTGTAGCAGTGCCGCGGTGCGAAACGAAAGGGATAAAGAAAGTTTAAGATGTGAACTATAGCACCTCTTAATTCCTGAAATCCACAACAGAAAATGCCACAAAAACTCCCAATCCTATACGCATTATTGCTCATAAAGTTTATTGTTACTTAGGTAGAAGACCTGTCTGTGCCCTCTTGCAGAAAAAGGAAACTTTATTTCTGGGTGTGAATCTAGCTACGGAGAAATAATAATAATTTATCGATCAAACGAACTTACCTGAAGTTCGATCGTAATTATATGAGGGTCCAGTCCGAAAATATTACATAATTGTGTAGTAGTGGCTTTCCATACTTTTTATCACGAGGTTCAAAGCAAAGGAAAAATGCGCCCGTCCGGTCCTGACTGCCGTTCACCTTGATGATCTAGTGGCGCACCGTCCTATTCGCTTCATTCTTCAAAGTATCCAGATGTATTACCTGCAACTCTCAGGGGCGGGTAGGGGTAGGGTTTATAATATTTTCGGACTGGACCCTCATATAATTACGATCGAACTTCAGGTAAGTTCGTTTGATCGATAAATTATATTTCGGGATCCAGTCCTCAATATTACATAATTGTGTAGCTGTTTAAAGGAAGTTGCAGTAAGACAGGTGGAAGCAACCTTTATTTTAAGAAAAACGAAAAAGTTGATACAAACGTTAAACAAATTCAAATAACCGTAAGTATATCCTCTATGTTTCTGATGATAATAGATTCAAGACAGATGTTAAATAATTGTCTTTCTCTACTAGAGGTCTATTGTAAAACCTTGCAAAGGTTTGAGAGTCCTGGCTCCAACCAGCTGATCTGCGTATTGCATCTATATGCACCCCTTGTCTTAGCGCACATGAAGTGGAAGCGTGCCTTGAGGAATGGGGTTTGAACATATTTGTGTCGATTCCTGCCTTTGCCATTGTATTTTTTACCCAGCGACTCAAGGTTTGCTTAGTAGCTGGGCCATGTGGTTTATTGAAGGTGAGAAATAGCTTATCACAATCGGCAGGGCGGAGTGGTTTAGTTAGTTCCAGGTACTGATGTAGGCAAGAAGCAACACACAAGTTAGGACATTCATGAAAATATGGCAATGACAACTTAGGTTGAAGTGTTTTAGGCCCTGAAGTTTTCACAAAATCGGGGATTTGGATGTCTGCCCCTGAGGTAGAAAATTTAATATTAGGACATCTAATAAGAGCAACAGTCTGGATTCTCTGTCCGGTAGCTAACACTAAGAGAGCAACTAATTTACAGGATACGGATCTTAGATCTTTATCGGGCGGTTTATTTAAAAACTTAAGTACATCTTGAGGATTCCACGTAAAATTATATCTAGGCCTAGGCGGTCTAGTTCGAAAAATTCCTTTCATAAATCGTTTTACCTCTGTATTTGTCCCTAAATCGCTAGAAGTGATAAGGGAAAGAGCCGCCCTATGGGAATTGAAGGAACTATAAGTATTATTTGATGTGTTCATAACCTGCTGTAGGAATGAAATAATATTGGGTACGTCGTATTTAAAAGGGAATATGTCCCTCAGTTGACAAAATTCCCACCAAAGTCTTAGGCTACAGTTGTATTGAGAAATCGTATTGTCACTCAAGGAGTTCATCATGGTGTCTACAGCCTCCGGAGGAATCCCTTTTCGTTGAAAAGCTTGCCTGACAATCTGGTCGCCACCAGGATAAAGTTTTCCGATAATGGATGTTTCTTTTGGCTGAAAGGGCAAAGCAGGAGATTACTTGAGGGTCCAAAGTAGATTGGATTTCCTATAATTAATTGTATAAATAATGGGTACCATGGCTGGTTCTTCCAAAGAGGAACCACCAAGATACCTGATGCTTCGTCACTGATAATTTTCTGTAAGGTTCTCAGAACCATTGAAAAGGGTGGGAACGCGTAAAAGTTCAAGTATTTCCAAGAGACAGTGAAAGCATCAATTTCTTCCGAGCTAGGATCTCTCAACCAAGACATGTATCTATCACATTTGTGATTAGCTACGGACGCGAACAAATCGATATCAGGGATCCCAAAAGTTTGAGCTATTGCATCAAAGGCATGTTGGTTAAGATACCACTCTGTCTCGGTATGCAAAACGCGAGACGCACGGTCTGCTTGCCAGCTCTCTGATGAAGGAATGTAGGAAGCAAATATCCATAAATTTTTTGATTCGCACCACTTCCAGATGGTTCTTGTCAATTCATTTAATTGCGGGTGCTGCACGCTGCCCATTTTATTGACATAAGCTAGTGCCGTGGAATTGTCCGTTCGAATAAGAACGTTGCAATTTGATAAATCTCTGGCAAAACATTTTAGGCCAAAGTATATAGCTCTTAGTGCCAAAATGTTTATGTGAATATTTGATTCTTGTTCCGTCCATCGACCATAGCTACTTTCGCCTTGGCAAAAGGCGCCCCAACCTGACAAACCAGCATCTGTATAGATCTCTCGGTGAAAATGATCTCGTTTAAGATCATTTTTAGCAGTATTGATATGGTGTTCCCACCAATAAAGTTCTTCAATTATCGTCTGGTTAATGCACATAGTTGCATTGTAATTTTGGGAGTGTTGGCACAAAGCAAGGAACTTTTCCTTTTCTAATATTTTGGTGTACAACCATCCGTACTTCACTGCTGGACAAGCGAATGTAAGCAACCCGAGAAACTGGGCTAACTTTACAATTTTACAAGTAGAGTGCGTTTTTTAAAAAAACGTTATCCAATTTGAGATTTTTGACGTTTTATTGGTGGTAATTCTATGGTCACTTCGATAGAATTAAAAACGAACCCAAAAAATTTAAATTCCGTAGAAGGTGAGAGGACACTCTTTTGCCAATTGACAACAAATCCCAGAGAAATTAGAAGAGAAGCAACCAAACGAATGTTTCTAGAACACTCGTCAATGGTCCCAAAACCAAAAAGTCATCCAGATAAATTACGCAGGGTACGCCCCTGGCTCTCACGTGGTTGACGATTTGTTTCATTAGTAAACTCATATAAAACATCCTTGAAAGAAAATCGTAAATATTTTCTGTGGTCACGATGAACTGCTAGCATATAATAGGCGTCTTTCAAGTCTAGCGTGGCTCCATAGTTGCCACGATGCACTAACTTACTTGCTGTTCGGGCGTCTTCTAGCTGAAAATGCGGAGCGTAGATAAATTCGTTTAATCGCTTTAAGTTTAAAATAAAGCGTTTTCCACCGTTAGGCTTGTCGGTTAAAAAATGGGAGAAACAAACTGCCCAGTTACATTACCGTGACACTTTTCTATAGCCCCAGAATTTAGTAACCTACTAATTTCGGAACCGATTAATTGGTTTTCATCATATGAATGATTAGCGTTATTTGGGATTTGTGGCTGAATAGGTGTTTTAACAAATGGTAATTTATATCCTGAGATCCAACCCAAAACAATACGATTGTCAGTAAGGGTTAACCATTTCTGATAAAAAGAATTCAAGCGACCTGCATAGTTGCTTACCAATTCTAATGTCGTCTCCTCTTCTCTTGTGGTTTGTTCCAATAGGTGTTTTTGTGAAATCTGGATGAGGGGCCCCTCTCGTGACTCACTGCCCCCAATCGGTGAGTCGGGGGGCGAGAGTTTAAAGACCCTGATGATCTTGAGGTGTCTGTATAGACAGCTCCTTTTTGTGCCCTTCTGGGAGCGAGTGCTGGTTTAGAAGCGCCCACTTTATTCTGATAAGTCGGGAGTTTCAGATCCTTACTCACATTTAGAAGAGATTTTGCTGTGTCTAATTTCTGAGTTAAATTAGAACCAAAAAGAAATTCTCCGGGTAGGCAGTCATCTGCCAGTTCTTTAGATATTTTTAGACCAGGAACGAGAAGGTTCTTTCGTGTAACCGACATGCGATGGAAGAGATTCGTTAGAATTCGTCCGCTATCACATAGATTAGTAAGGAAATCGCCCTTGAATTGATCTGGCATATGTTCTAAATCAATGAGAATCGTGGAAATTGATCTACCTAGTGCAGCCAGGCCTTTTCCTAGTTGATTTTGCATCTCGACATAAGATGCGTCCACAGAGATGTTTTGTTTTGACGAGGCAGCCTTTACTTCCGGATTCAATTCGGGAGGTCGAAGGAATGATAGTTTTTCTGATGTTTGGTATGCATTAAAAAGCGTTTGAGCATCAGATTTTTTCAAGCCATTAGACAAAATAGTTTGCCAGATCGTAGTAAGTTGATCGTGCAGGGAAAAAACAGCGCTTTGGTCTGTATTTACATCTTTTCCAATAAGCTTTAAGATGTCCTCAGGTAAGGTTACATCGTTATATAAGATCAAAGTGTCGTCTCCGCAATCCATATTTTCGGTATTTGCTTCTGCACGTGGCAACGTTGCATTCACCAGCTGGAGAGATTTAGATAGCTGCTCCTCATCTTGAACCGGCATGGTTCGAGCATGGATCGGTGTCATCGGCGATCGAGATTCTCTCTCTCTCCGATTACGATGGGAGGAAGAGTGAGAAGCGCCAGAGCGGGAACGACTTCTCGATTTCGAAATCGATCGACGCGGCATGCGACGACGGTACGACACGCTTGGACTGCGTGTGTGTTCTGAGCGACGCCTTTGTCGTGACAAACGACTATGGGTTGAATAAGAAGTGGACAGAGATCTTGAATTGCGACGATTAATTAAGGTCTCTAGTTTCTCCATTCTTTCTAATAAGTAGGTATACGTGTCGCAATCATTATTACCCTTGGCGTTGCTCGGTGAGCGATTTTTCTTCTTATGACTCTTGGATTTACCCATAATAATCCCTGAAAAAACGGGCTGAAATAAAAGTAAATTGTATGATGCTTCTAAGGAGTCCCGTTAAATAGGCCCTGAATCTCCTATGTTAAAGGCGAAAATATTTGAGAATAATTCAAAAAGAATTACCTGGGGTATCAAGTCAGGCGATATCACTCGGTTTTTCGTCTCTGTTTATTAGCTGAGGCAGCGAACGCAATGAACCTTGTCGCACAAGCACGAAAACCACAATGAAGCGAATAGGACGGTCGACGGTGCGCCACTAGATCATCAAGGTGAACGGCAGTCAGGACCGGACGGGCGCATTTTTCCTTTGCTTTGAACCTCGTGATAAAAAGTATGGAAAGCCACTACTACACAATTATGTAATATTGAGGACTGGATCCCGAAATATAATAATAATTAACGTCTTTTATTTGTAATATTCTTACAGGAGGCGAGATTTAGATTATATATCTATTCTACCATCTAACCCCCTTAACAATAAGAAGAAATCAATTTGTGATAGCAAAACAGGACAGACGACGCCTGCTTTCTGCGCTTCTCCAAAGAAAGGACGCCAAATCTATCCAATAGTAAAGAGTAGTCATATCCTCTTGAAATTTCCTTTGTACTTTTTCAATATTATTTTTGTAGAGTTCACAGATAGGCTTCCAAGCAATTGCACCGTATTCTAATTTACTTATTAAAATGATATTAAATTTTTTACAATTTCTGTTAATAAAGCCATATGTGCGATATGCATTACTTATAATTTCACTGATGTGGTACTTCAATCATTTATTTTATATGGGTGAGTTAAAAATTTGCTTTTCCGGGTGAAGTTCAAAAAGGCAGCATTTAGGGCCGTATCGTCAGTCGTTCCTACAATTGTATGACGCCTTTATGGCCTTTGCATAGCTTTCTACTGATCCGTGCCGGCGCTCTATTTTGAGGTTATGTTACAAATATCTATTTGCATCAAATTGTCCATGCTTTTAATTTATAACATCTGTTATATCAGCCCGAAATTTCCTACACTTCAAAAAGAAAACATCACAATAGGAGGACGCTGACACGGAACAGTAGAAATCTAGTAATACCCCAGCCTTTCTGAAGGGGAGAAAAAACTATCAAAATCAAGCAGGGCATAAAGGCGTCCTGCAATTGAAGGAACGACTGACGATACGGCCCTTAGAGTTCTTGAAATACAAATTGTTATTGATACACTATATTCGTAAAAAAAGTATTTGTTGTTGGAGGTTTTCACAATCTTGCCAGCAAGAAACAGATGTGTAAAGGTTCAGGTCATCAGCAAACATAAGCTTCTTGCAAACAATAGGGGACCCAAATTGGAACCCTGAGGAATACCACTACATGACATGAATGTTTAAGAACCATATCCGTTATAGAATACATATTGGGTTCTCAAGACTAGATAGATGAGAAGATCAACGTACGTTTTGTTGAATCCCTTGTATTCAATTATTTGTATAAGTAGTTGGTCAATTCTGTCAAACACTTTTGTAAAATCAGTATAGGTATATGACATCTACTTACAATCTATTGTCTACCGTTTCGCAAAGATATTGTCTGAACGTGGCCAAATTAGTACGGGTACTATAACAGTTTTGCAATGCAGCTTTATTTATTGACTTCGTTCAAAGTGATTCCCATTACATTCAATACACTTCTCAATCCGCCAGAACCAGTCCTTAAACCAGCTCTGCAAGTTTCACCCGGGAGTGCGGCACACTCGTCGAAAGTCCTCAGAAGGTCCTCATCGCTAGAAAATTGTTTTCCTTTTAGTTTCATTTTCACGTGCGGAAACAGTGCAAAGTCACAGTGCTCAATAAGTTTCAGTGCGGTAGTGGTCAGATAAAGGCTTTGGCGCGGAGAGCTGGAACGTTGTTATGGTGGAGGCACCAAGTGTCCATTCTTCATTTTGGTCAGTCTTTTCATAGACTATATTACTTTAGACAGGCACTGTTCCGTGTACCACTTAGCTATGTCTGTCTTCTGTCTGTCCAGAACGGCACGCTTCACAATCCCGCTCGATTTGAAAAATACAGCTATCATTTTTTTCTTAACTGATCGAGATTTTCTGACAGCTACAAGTGTGCCCTCATCATCACAGACCCAAACTTGGTCGGCATATCGTAATAATAGAGCCAAGTCTCGTCACCTGCCACGATGCTCTGTTCACATACCGATATTGCCCCTCAGAGAGAACAAAGTTTCCTTACTTGTAAATGGTCATGCAGAATTGAATGAATTGCTGGTGCATGAAGGTGTAAGGTCTCCTCTATACGTTGGTATGTCACTCTCCGATCTTCGTCAAGCATTTTCCTCACAGCAGTAATGTTTTCCTCTATTACTGACGTTCGCAGCCTTTGTTCCCTCTCGGCATCCTCCAGAGTGAATTGCCCCTTTGGAATTTGGAATTGTCTGTACCACCTGAATATAGTCGTACAATGAAGACAGTAGGGCGGAGTGCCATTTACGACACCTCCGGGGGGAAGGGCGGGGTGATTGATAGCAGTGCTGAGTTCTCTCAATTGCCATGCCAATTGTAAAAACTCTTCGGTCCCCTATCAACAACGTGTTGTAAAATAGAAATGAGTCGACAGAAGGTGAGGTTACTGTTCTTGATTGTAATGCTGAGTAGTATACGGTTTAGCTACCAAAGAGAGTGTTGGAAAACATGTCCGAAATTATGATTAAGGACGTAAATGAATCCCAAAACAAATATTCTTTACCGTATATTGGCCAAAGCTCACCAAAGACACCAGGTAGTCGTTCAAAATGTTTGATAAAATTTCACTTTGTTCAGCAGTAAATATGAGGTAGTACATGCTAATATGTTGGGTATGAATAATATAAAGGTATAGATCAGAACTGGGTTAGGAAAATGCAGCAGGTAAAGTTGTTTTGACAAATATCATGTTCCAGTTGATATTGACCATTATATTTATCTTTTCAGAAGCAGTACACCCCCTCTGCTTTGACAAGATGTGGATGCAATATGCATCAATGCATTGGCGTGAACCAAAGGATCTACCTACAGCTATCATGAGATTAGTGTGCCAGTTAACAGATTTGATGCTTGATGCTGAACATTCAACAAACTACAACATGAGTATATGTTGAAATGATCATGAGGTTGGAAGGATCTGGAGACTAATTCGGAAATACGAGGAAGGGCAGAAGTTATGTATGCAGTATCTACAAGAAGATTGCACTATTGGCCAGTTTTGTAATGATATAATTAATTATAACCTTAGATCATTTCTGTGTGAAATTGCAAGATATTTACTTCAGGAAATTATCCTCAAATATCACCTCGTGTATGAGGATTGAACACTATCTATTTAGTTTACTATAGGATTATACCATGCATTATTATTAAATAAATACCTGACATATTGAGTTGCTGTTGTTATTTCATTGAAGAACATCAATGCATGATAAAAACATAAATGCGCGGAAATTATATCATTATTATGGATATCCAGGGATATAACATTCAATCGAGTTTCTCACCGAAAGAGATTGCATTTAAGAGAAGTGGAGTTACGTTTCATTATATTGTAAAGCCATCCATTTTTTCCATCAGCCGAGTGAAGGTGATCAAAGAAATGTTCTGGAGAAGTATCACCATGGTATCAAATATAGTGTGAGAAATACAGAAGTCAGCAACCTTCTGAAAATTTTCAAATTTCACAATAAAGATAACGATAGATTCTTCTTAAAAGGTCATCAAAAATATAACTATGTTCTCGATACAATTGTTAAGTTGCAGATACACAACGTACAAATTGTATACATTAACAATGATAGCTACCATAAAATCGAATTGAGAATTGTCGGCCACCTGATTGGGGTGTGGCTTGCCCGTACCATGACTGTGGCACCCCACTATGATCTATAGCATGACAGGGCAAGCTCGATAGCACGTTCAGGTATTTTTATAATACTCGTCCGTCTTCATTCGACAACAAGCACACAAGATTACCATTTGAGGTATGTATATATTTTCTTCTACGTTGCTTTTAAACCTTGTGCTGTGTTGTTTGTATTTGATTCACAACTTAGAGATGTTTTTCTTGTTATTAAAGCTCGACTTGCCCGAGTTCTTGATGGAGGACATGCCTCAAGCAGCAAACGTGGGAGTGCCAGATCGTGCAAGATTCTTCATACTTCCATTTAGAGTAGCCAGATTTTTCTTCTTTGTTTTCAAACCTTATGCTATGTTGTTTTGGCCCTAAATGTAGTATCCCTTTTAAACCTTAACCTTTAGAGTTTGAACTGCTACTATAAATATATTTTTCTCTTCAGCACAGACAAACGATGGACGGTGCGACACCACAAGTGCATTTTACGTCGATCATAGTGACGACGAACGATAGATGGAGCATTGGAACATTTGTTTTGGCCGATGGTGACCCAGATCAGAGTCACTGGCGCCATTCCACATATCTTGATAGTCCTGGGACGTGTCAAACATCGAGGATACCGGATGAGGATGAGTTCGTCGTCATCGACTATAGATTATTCGAAGAGTATATGTTGTTTTCGGACTAATCATCCGATCTGTCATCAGATATCGATGACAATCCGGAAGAGTAGTTTGCTAACAATATTTAGTATGAGTTAGTTTAGCTGAATGTAGTTGTATATATTTTTTTGTTGATTATAAGTTGTATATGTATTTTGTATGAGTTAGTTTAGCTGAATGTAGTTGTATATATTTTTTTGTTGATTATAAGTTGTATATGTATTTTGTATGAGTTAGTTTAGCTGAATGTAGTTGTATATTTTTTTTTTAAATTATAAGTTGTATATGTATATAGTAGTAGTGTATTTCATTGAAAATATATCTTCACCATTGGAGATTCATCTCAAGTGTTAATTGTTAAAGTAACGATCCGCTAGCATGTCAGTTAATTTAGATACATCTTCCTACCTAAAGCTGAATTGAGGGTAGCAAATACAAAGTGTTATGTCAAATGAAAGTAGCCTAGCACATGCAGTCGACTTGACAGGTAATATGAGTAATCCTATTTGTATATCCATGACTGGAAAATGATAAGATTTGTTCACCAAAATACAAAATTGTTTTAAAAAATGGGTAAATGATATGAAAAAAAAAACATAAGACGTCGCCTGTGTGGATTATCTCTTTATCATAACAAACAATCATACCTATGTGTTAAGTATACAGGCTGTTCCTTTATGATATGCAAATATTTAAGGGTGTGAATCTACATGAAAAATTAATGTTAGTTTGCTTTATAAACTATGATCCAAAAATGTTTCCTTACAAAAACTCGAAAAGTTTTATGAAAAAAATGGAAATTAATTAATATTTTCAGCACCGCTTCAGATATCTCAATGATATTTAGTACGCAGTGAAAGTTCATAAAGTTGCATATTTTACAATGAAAAAATAATTTTTACCTTTAACAGTGGCGTGCGTACGGGTATTGACTTCGATATTTTTTAAGAAAAAGATGGTACGCCAATGGTTTTTTGACAAATAAAAATAATTTTTAAATTCCCCGTTCAATTTAAAACAAATGATCTTTCTTGAATTGTTTTCCTTCGATGCGCCATTTTCGAGTAAAAAAATAAAAGCCGTTCTATTGTCTAACTTGCAAAATTATTATTAATTTGATTGGAAAAATTAAACACATTAGACAATATAACTGACAACATAAACATAACATTAAAGCCAACGAAATGAAAATTGTTGAAAATGGCCCCCTTTACTTAGTATGCATGCTTCCGCCCTCCTTCTCAATGGAATTGCGCTCTCCTTGAAATATCCCTGGAGTGTTTTTTATTCTATCACAAGCTGTAACTATTCTTTCTCTTAATTCCTCTACAGTGTTAATGGGACTTGGGTAAACTAGTGTCTTAAGATAGCCCCACAAAAAGAAATCTAAACTGTTGAGGTCTGAGGACCTTGGTGGCCATTCTTGGGGCCCACCTCGGCCAATCCAACGATTTGGATAAACTGTAAATAATTACGAAGCGCTACACTGAAATGCGCTGGTGCACCATCATGCATGGACCGCATATTGTTTCTTATTACTAACGGAACATCATCAAGCAGCAAAGGCAACTGTTGTTGAAGAAAATTGAGGTAAGTCTGTCCGTCAAGTCGTCCCGTCAAGAAGAATGGGCCAATAAAGGGGTTGCCAATAATTCCTGCCCACACGTTAACCGAAAATTGGGGTTGGAAATGGGTTTCGGTTACGGCATAGGAATTTTCTTCTGCCCACAAATGATTATTGTGGAAATTCTGAATGCCATTTCGAGAAAAATTAGCTTCGTCCGTGAACAGAATCATTGATTCAAATTGCGGATTTTGTGTAATTTTTTGAAGATACCACTGACAAAAGGCCACACGTCTTGGAAAATCAATGGGAAGTAATGCCTGTACTCCTAAAATATGTAAGGATATAAAAATATGGTAAGGATATAACAAAAGATCTACTAAAATTCTCCAAACAATGATGGCAAATATTTAAGTGTCTAGCGATCTTCCTCGTACTCGTTTCAGGATGTTCTTCGACTTCGTGCAGCACTGCTTCCTCAATTTCAGGGGTTCTCACACTTAGAGGTCTACCTTCAGATGTTCCTTTTTCGGACAGAACCAGTTTCAACAAGACGACGATGAATATTAGAAAAGGTTCGACTATCTGGCAAAGCACGATCGGGATATCTCTGGTGATAAATCCGTCTGGTTTGCTCACTATTACCGTCGGCAAGGCCATATACGCAATGCATTTACGCCATTTCTGCATTTGAATAATTCACCATTATTAACAAGATTGTAGAAACTGAATAATGAAAAAGATGTCACAGCGAAAAGATTTGAATAACAGAGACTTGTCAGATGTCAAAAGCCAGTGACGTATTCCAGAGCAACTAGATATTTATTGCTAAATTGCATTCTTCAATTGTTACTTAATTTTCTCAGACAATAGAACGGTTTTTATTTTTTTACTCAAAAATGGCGCATCGAAGGAAAAAATTCAAGAGAGAACATTTGTTTTAAAATGAACACGAAATTCAAAATATTTTTTATTTGGCAAAAAACCATTGGCGTACCATTTTTTTCTCAAAAAATGTCGAAGTCAATACCCGTACGCATGCCACTGTTAAAACTAAAAATTATTTTTGTATTGAAAAATATGCAACATTATTAAATTTCAGTACGTACTAAATATCAGTGAAATATCTGAAGAGGTTCTGAAAATATTAATTAATTTCCATTTAAAACTTCAACACCCCGAGTTTTTGTAAGGAAACATTTTTGGACCAAAGTTTATAAAGCAAACTAAGATTAATTTTTCATGTAGATTCACACCCTTAAATATTCGCATATCATTAAGGAACACAATGTACGTTATAATCAGGTCGTCGGCATATAAGAGATATCTTAAGCCTAGTACTCACTAGTAGACATGTCTCGCGATTTTGGTCTCAGAGACATGTCTAAAGTTGTCTCAGTATGTCTCGGTAGACATGTCTATAGACCAAATCCGGTCTACGGGGCGGTTGCGACACTAAAAATCGCAGGTCTCAAGTCTCCCGATTGAAATGGGAGACTTGATGCAACGTTGGGATACGTTGCGCAACAAGGTGATAGTGAGTACCTCGCGTCTATAGACGAGACATTTCCCAGTCCCTCTCTCGCTTTCTAAACAAGTGCATGTGGTCTCTGCTGTTTTTGTTTACCATGTGGTCAAACGACAAAGTTTTAAAATTTATTGAAGACTATCATACCTCGTTTTGTTTGTGGGATGTAACGAGTCCCGATTACAATTGTAATCGGGATTCGTAAGAACCGGGTGAAAAGAAGAGCGGCCCTGGAATCACTGGCTGCAAAGCACATGGTTTCAATCGAAGAAATAGAAAAAACTACATAATTTAAAAACATCGTTCAACCGGGAGCGAAAGAAGATTCTTCCGACGAGTGGGTCCTCTCCCAAAAAGTCCTCATGGTTTGCCCACGATTATTTGCTATTCCTACTGCCAGCGAATGAGTCAAAGGGCAGCCGCAACACGGACTTGGATGATAGACAGAGTCAAAACAAGGAAGATGTAAGTAAAATTTACTTTATTAAATGCTTTATTAAATTACATTTATTCTTTACCTACGATTTTTTCCATTGTTTTTCGTTATTACTTTGAATTAAATCAACCTATTATTCTCTATTCTATTTTTTAACATAATCATAACTAAGTTTTGACCACAGTTAATATTTCTATATGTAAAGCAAACCAAAAACTGAATAGCTTTACGATATTGAATCGTATTGCCAAGCTACCTCTCCCTCTTGAGAAACAAAGTATTCACAAAATTCATCACGAATTTTATGCAAGTTTGCTGAACATCTTCGAAGAGCGTTGCGGAGATCCATCAAACGATTCTCTTGCTGATTAATTTCCCTTCTCCAAAATCCTTCAATTACATTTCCATCACCATCGTACGAGTCCAAGCTTCCTGGTGGGGTGTAGGCATATCTTGACTCTGAATTCCTACGTAAAAAATTGTGCAGGTAGGCGCAAGCCAACACGACGGACTCCACTTTATTTCGCTGTAGAGCTATTGGCTTAAGCAACACCCGAAATTTGGAAGACATGATACCGAAAACATTTTCTACTATTCTTCGAGCTCTGCTTAGCCTATAGTTGTATATTCTTTTTGGAATTTCCAGTGTACGACCAGGGTACGGTTTCATCAAATAACTAGACATAGCAAAAGCATCATCTCCCACAAGAACGTATGGTACAGGTTCCGTTTTTCCTGGTAATGCGTCACTTCTAGGTACGTGTGCGGTATTGTTTTCTAGATCCTTGTATAGTGAAGTACACTTAAAAATGCCCCCATCAGAAATACGTCCTTGGCATCCAACATCGGCGTACAATAAGTTGTAGTTGGCGTCTGCAACGCCAAGGAACACAATGCTGAATGTACCCTTGTAGTTGTAAAACAAGCTTCCGCTGTGTTGTGGGGCCACCATCTGAACCTGCTTACCATCAATGCTACCTATACAGTGTGGAAAATTCCATCTACACTGAAATTCCTGGGAAATAGCATTCCAATCTGCTTCAGAAGTCGGTCTCTGAAACAAAAAAAAAACATAAATTGTTTATAAATATATTTTTTGCATTAATTTTTGAGGGAATCTGAGGAAATGATGGGATATTTTTAATAAAGATTATGTTAACTTTTAGGTACATCAAATATAAAATTAATATTATGGCCTTATGGGCTTACAGGGTGGAGGGATACAGAGTAGGCCACAGTTTTCGCCATCCGCCTCCTAGATCAGTCCTCAGCGGAGGCTTTCGCCATATTTGCCGTGCTCCCTGTTCACACTAGGTCCCGGGCGAAGCAAATCAATTTAAGATTATTTTATTCTGTTTTATAAAAAAAACTATTCTGTTAATGTCTTGGTGGCTCATATTTTGAACGAATTTCTTTTTGTTTCAGGACGTCCTGTTGGATACTGCTGAGAATCAGAAGCAAGATGAAACAAATGGAGATGCAGAATGTGAGGACAAACACCCACCATTCAAAACCTCAAGATGGAATCCCAAACGCGTCCGACAAAATGAGGACTCCACTGCACAAGAAGCTGTGAACTGCCTCAACTCTCTATCAAAAGTTGTTACAGCCAGAGATGAGCATTCAGTATATGGAGTGTATGTTGCAACTAAAATAAGAAATTGTGACAAGTCCAGGATGGAGATCTCTTTGGCTCAGCGCTATATAAATGATATTTTATTTCGATTGGACATGGGTCTGTTAGCTGCTGACCTTCAGACCATTCAGATGCCACATCCACCTTCCACTTCCAGTTCTTCATTCACATCCCCAACTTCATATGTTTCGCAAGACACTTGTTGCTCGAATCCCTCTACACCATCTGCTAGTCTAGAAGTAGTTGGAGATGTTCAACTTGAACAACAATTGGAGTCAAGGGATACAATGAGCAATGACATTCGCGATTTTGTTGCGAATTATACCACATTATAAATATTTCGCATTGATTTCATAAAATGTCTAATTAAAATAAACATGTTTTGTGCAAAATAAAATTATTTTTGTATACATACCTTTATATGTTGTTTTAATGATGAGATAATCACTTCGCAAACTTCCGGTACCATTTTCGATATTACCTGCTTAGAGATTCTGAAGGTGTACATGAGACTAGTGAACGAGTCTCCACTTGCCAGGTAACGCAGTGTGACTGTCAGTCGAAGAGAAGCTGGGATGGTTTATCTAAATTTTGTATCCTGCTTCATTATTTTTCCTCCAACCATCTGAAGCAATTCTTCAAAGTCAGAAGGTATCAGCCGGGTGAAATTACGAAAATCCATGTTGTCCTCCAATCTTAATTTATTTAGTAGTTCAGTACCGAACCTAGGTCCTTCTGCGAACACTTCGCGCGTCCACCAACGTTTACGTTTTCACGCTTTTTTACTAGAAAGTATTACTAAACAGGCACTCATTGCGCACAAAGCAAGGTCCGCTATGGTGGTTGGCGAAGATGAGACTAGAAAAATTCACATCACAGTGTGGACGCTAGACGAGGCAAAGATCGGTGTCTCTACACCATGTCTATGTCTCAAGTCTAGACGGTCTCTAGACCACCTAAAGAAAATCGCGCAACGTGGTCTCCAAGTGAGTACTTACCTTTATGGGCAGTTATAAAGTTTGGTTATGCCATCTATGGCTATTAAGCCTAGTACTCACTAGTAGACATGTCTCGCGATTTTGGTCTCAGAGACATGTCTAAAGTTGTCTCAGTATGTTTCGGTAGACATGTCTATAGACCAAATACGGTCTACGGGGCGGTTGCGAAACTAAAAATCGCAGGTCTCAAGTCTCCCGATTGAAATGGGAGACTTGATGCAACGTTGGGATACGTTGCGCAACAAGGTGATAGTGAGTACCTCGCGTCTATAGACGAGACATTCCCCAGTCCCTCTCTCGCGTTGTAAACAAGTGCATGCGGCCTCTGCTGTTTTTGTTTACCATGTGGTCAAACGACAAATTTTTGAAATTTATTGAAGACTATCATACCTCGTTCTGTTTGTGGGATGTAACGAGTCCCGATTACAATTGTAATCGGGATTCGTAAGAACCGGGTGAAAAGAAGAGCGGCCCTGGAATCACTGGCTGCAAAGCACATGGTTTCAATCGAAGAAATAGAAAAAAAATACATAATTTGAAAACATCGTTCAACCGGGAGCGAAAGAAGATTCTTCCGACGAGTGGGTCCTCTCCCAAAAAGTCCTCCTAGTTTGCCCACGATTATTTGCTATTCCTACTGCCAGCGAATGAGTCAAAGGGCAGCCGCAACACGGACTTGGATGATACACAGAGTCAAAACAAGGAAGATGTAAGTAAAAATTACTTTATTAAATTACATTTATTCTTTACCTACGATTTTTTCCATTGTTTTTCGTAATTACTTTGAATTAAATCAACCTATTATTCTCTATTCTATTTTTTAAAATAATGATAACTAATTTTTGACCACAGTTAATATTTCTATATGTAAAGCAAACCAAAAACTGAATAGCTTTACGATATTGAATCGTATTACCAAGCTACCTCTCCCTCTTGAGAAACAAAGTATTCACAAAATTCATCACGAATTTTATGCAAGTTTGCTGAACATCTTCGAGGAGCGTTGCGGAGATCCATCAAACGATTCTCTTGATGATTAATTTCCCTTCTCCAAAATCCTTCAATTACATTTCCATCACCATCGTACGAGTCCAAGCTTCCTGGTGGGGTGTACGCATATCTTGACTCTGAATTCCTACGTAAAAAAATGTGCAGGTAGGCGCAAGCCAACCCGACGGACTCCACTTTATTTGGCTGTAGAGCTATCGGCTTAAGCAACACCCGAAATTTGGAAGACATGATACCGAAAACATTTTCTATTATTCTTAGAGCTCTGCTTAGCCTATAGTTGTATATTCTTTTTGGAATTTCCAGTGTACGACCAGGGTACGGTTTCATCAAATAACTAGACATAGCAAAAGCATTATCTCCCACAAGAATGTATGGTACAGGTTCCGTTCTTCCTGGTAATGCGTCACTTCTAGGTACGTGTGCGGTATTGTTTTCTAGATCCTTGTATAGTGAAGTACACTTAAAAACACCCCCATCAGAAATACGTCCTTGGCATCCAACATCGGCGTACAATAAGCTGTAGTTGGCGTCTGCAACGCCAAGGAACACAATACTGAATGTACCCTTGTAGTTGTAAAACAAGCTTCCGCTGTGTTGTGGGGCCACCATCTGAACGTGCTTACCATCAATGCTACCTATACAGTGTGGAAAATTCCATCTACACTGAAATTCCTGGGAAATACCTTTCCAATCTCCTTCGGAAAATCATAAATTGTTTATAAATATATTTTTTGCATTAACTTTTGAGGGAATCTGAGGAAACGATGGGATATTTTTAATAAAGATTATGTTAACTTTTAGGTACATCAAATATAAAATTAATATTATGGCCTTATGGGCTTACAGGGTGGAGGGATACAGAGTAGGCCACAGTTTTCGCCATCCGCCTCCTAGATCAGTCCTCAGCGGAGGCTTTCGCCATATTTGCCGGGCTCCCTGTTGTTCACACTAGGTCCCGGGCGAAGCAAATCAATTTAAGATTATTTTATTCTGTTTTATAAAAAAAACTGTTCTGTTAATGTCTTGGTGGCTCATATTTTGAACGAATTTCTTTTTGTTTCAGGACGTCCTGTTGGATGCTGCTGATAATCAGAAACAAGATGAAGCAAATGGAGATGCAGAATGTGAGGTCAAACACCCACCATTCAAAACCCCAAGATGGACTCCCAAACGCGTCCGACAAAATGAGGAGTCCACTGCACAAGAAGCTCTGAACTGCCTCAAGTCTCTATCAAAAGTTGTTACAGCCAAAGATGAGCATTCAGTATATGGAGAGTAGGTTGCAAATAAAATAAGAAATTGTGACAAATCCAGGATGGAGGTCTCTTTGGCTCAGCGCTATATAAATGATATTTTATTTCGATTGGACATGGGTCTGTTAGCTGCTGACCTTCAGACCATTCAGATGTCACATCCACCTTCCACTTCCAGTTCTTCATTCACATCCCCAACTTCATATGTTTCGCAAGACTCTTGTTGCTCGAATCCTTCTACACCTTCTGCTAGTCTAGAAGTAGTTGGAGATGTTCAACTTGAACAACAATTGGAGTCAAGGGATACAATGAGCAATGACATTCGCGATTTTGTTGCGAATTATACCACTTTATAAATGTTTCAAAATATATCTAAACTAAAAAATTTTAAAATACAGTAGGCAAACGAAAACTAGAGAAATATTTACAAGAAAATCTCATAAAAATTTAAGTAATAGAAAATGAAAATATGTCAAGAATATTGGAATATTCCCTATTAGTGAAACGCTAAAAGCTGATCAAAATCTCGGTATAATAGCCGCTGACCAAGAGTAGTGTATAAACCATTTAACGCTGGCTAAACATACTCGATCAGGTACCCTAACTTGCGAGTGATGAAAGTATGACGGCGGGTGATTCTACGAGCTCGGTCATTGTAGCCTCTGTCTAGGGTCTAGGGGATATCAAGCGCATGGCACCCGCATAGGAGAGTACCGAAACGGACTCGGCTTTCTCTCCTCCTTGCATATTTTTTCATCTGCCAGCCTTTCAGAAGCTTTCTCACACCATGCCACTTAGCCTATAAATTGTCTCTATAATAGAGTATTTTTTTGAGGTACAACTGATTTTGGGGAATCATTTCCTTGAGGGGGAAAATGAATTTTTTAGCATATTTTTTTATCTGCCAGCCTTTCAGAAGCTTTCTCACACCATCGCACCTAGCCTATTAATAGTCTCTATAATAGAGTATTTTTTTGAGGTACAACTGATTTTGGGGAATCATTTCCTTGGGGGTGAAAATGAATTTTTTAACATATTTTTTTATCTGCCGGCCTTTCAGAAGCTTTCTCACACCATGCCACCTAGCCTATAAATTGTCTCTATAATAGAGTATTTTGTTGAAGTACAACTGATTTTGGGGAATCATTTCCTTGGGGGTGAAAATGAATTTTTTAGCATATTTTTTTATCTGCCAGCCTTTCAGAAGCTTTCTCACACCATGCCACCTAGCCTATAAATAGTCTCTATTATAGAGTATTTTTTTGAGGTACAACTGATTTTGGGGAATCATTTCCTTGGGGGTGAAAATGAATTTTTTTAGTATATTTTTTATCTGCCAGCCTTTCAGAAGCTTTCTCACACCATACCACTTAGCCTATAAATTGTCTCTATAATAGAGTATTTTTTTGAGGTACAACTGATTTTGGGGAATCATTTCCTTGTGGGTGAAAATTAGTTTTTTAGCATATTTTTTTATCTGCCAGCCTTTCAGAAGCTTTCTCACACCATGCCACCTAGCCTATAAATAGTCTCTATAATAGAGTATTTTTTTGAGGTACAACTGATTTTGGGGAATCATTTCCTTGGGGCTGAAAATGAATTTTTTAGCATATTTTTTTATCTGCCAGCCTTTCAGACGCTTTCTCACACCATGCCACCTAGCCCATGAATTGTCTCTGTAATAGAGTATTTTTTTGAGATATAAATTATTTTGTGGAATTATTTTTTTGGGGGTGAAAATGAAGTTTTATTTATATTTTTTCATCTAGCACCCCTTTAGAGATTTTCTCAGTATATGCTATTTAGCTCAGTAATTACTTTCAATACAGTAATCGGTAAGTTAAAATTCGAAGAAAGGTTTTGGGTTAACTTTTGTTCCTGCCAATTATTTAATTAGGGTGGAAAATGATTCTTCCTATAGGGGTGCTTATTCTCGTGCATATATATATTTATTGTTGCGAGCTGTTAGCTGTATCCTTCACAATCACAGTCTGGTCGAGGATGTCGACGCCACTGGTCATTCGGGTATCTTCGGCAAATTGTCCGCTAAATTTTGTCTGCCAACTTCACACCGGTTGTATGAAAGTCGAGAAGCTTACAACCAAGCTATTCTCTTGATGAAGGTTGGTAAGTTACAAAACAAATCATTGCAGATCCATATTATATACTTATCGCATTATTTTCAGGTGTGATTCATTCTCACAGATGGCTCCTCCATGGGTAAGAAACATTGTATGGCAAGTGCAATTATTGCATTGTCGATGTCAGAGATGCTTTTTCACAAATCATTGTGGGACTCTAGATTGTGTAGAGTGTCAGGCACAAGTATGTATAATGTGTGTATGTGAAGATCATAATTACTATTATTGAACATCGCTATTTCAGGGTGCTCAAAATGCCATGGTCATGTGGGATTAGCAAAAATGAAGTGTTACAGATAGTAAACAGAAGAATAGAGTTGCAGCATGAAGCAGAATCAGAAAAACTTTATGACAATTCAATAATCAATTACGAATGGGAAAATTAAAGAAGATTGTGACTCATCAAGAGAATTATTTTCCTGTTAAACAAACTCCAAACAATTCAAACAACTAGATAAGCGGAAAAGACCCATTATGTTGAAAATTGTAGTTACCTCAAAGTCAGACTGGGCTAAGCCCTAATAGGTAGTTTTAAGATAGTTTCATTGCATTCATAATTCACTCATCATTACAGGTAGACAGATGTTGCGAGTATCAAATTAAAACTCGCAACTTTATCATGAACTTGACATGTAAGACAAAATGAACTTAACCTAACCTGGCTCTGAGGTACAGAATTTGATTTGTATTTAAACTGCTGGCTATAAATTTTGGATTTAAATTACTATCAATAATGGAGCCTTCAGCTGCTGAGCATACTTCAGTGGTATCATCAAGAACAAGGAGATCAAAGCACTGAGCCTCAAAGAACTATATGTTGTATTTATCAAATGTGTTGCACTGGTGTTGCACCATATCGTTGGTTTGGAAGAATGGCACAACTAAAAAATTGACATTTTTTAGTTTGACCCGCTAACCAACTCGAAAAGGTAAACTTTATTATGGGAAAAATAGTCACAAGTTGCACTCGTGTAGTTAACGCTAGATGGCGACTTATGACAGTTTGACTTTGTGTAACTCGTGCATTTATTTGTATGGAATAGCGGCACATTATTAGTTGCGTCTCAGTTGTTGTGGAAGTCACATCGCGTGTTTTCGAGAATAGTGTTATAAGTGAAAAAGGAACGTATTTTTTGGTATTTTGTATTTAATATTTTATGCAAGACAGTCACATTTCGATTTAGGTAAGTATTCCTCATAGGATATGTGCTTTTAAAATGAATTATTATGTGCAACACAGTCACATTTCGACTTGTGTCAGTATTCCTCATAGGATATGCGTGTTTATAAAGGAATATTATGTGCAATATCGTCATTTTTGACTTAGAACGGTATTCTTCAAAATAATCATGACAATGTCAAAAGTTATTTTATTAGTTTGAGTACTATTTTGATATGTGACATTTTTCTACATAAAATCTACTAATGATTCATTGTTTTTTTTTACTTGGAACAATATTCGTAAAAATAATTTAAAATTTTCGAAGTTGTTTGTGCAATTTTCTGAAATGTACGTATTTGTTACTTCACAGTCTATACAATGAGTTCCCAGCGAGCGAAACTTATATTAAAGTTAGCAAAAACCAAAGCAAGAGTAGAGAAGAAAGAGAATGGTGCGCAGGATAGTTGGAAAATTTCGCAGCATAATAATATTGGCAATACCAGCAGTACTGCAGAGGAAGCTGTTAATAGCGTCACGGTCAATAAAGGTTTGTTTTTCTATTGTTAATAAAAATAAACACAAATAAATGTTCATATAATTTTAGAGTCCCTAAACATGATTGAAAGTAATAATATCCGCAATAGTTTAAAAGAAGCCAAAAATGCAACCGAAGATAAGAATAATATAGAGTCTGTAAATCAGATCGTTCTGCCAAGCCAAAACGTTATCTCCCAAACGACAATCATTCCTGGTATCATCCTTGATGAGAGTTCAGAAGATATTGGAGGTGTTACATTAATAAATAGAACTCGATGTCAGGGCTTACTTAGAGCGGATGAATATGAAGAATTCCCTAGCAGTAATGGTCCTAGCAGTGAGCTAATAGAAGAAGATGATTTAGGTAGTCATAGCTAGTTAAAAAAATGTTCCTCTAACACAAAATTTATTGTTACAGAAGCCACTTCTTCTAAAGTATTTTCTGTTGAACCTGCAATTCAAACAGATAACAATTCAAGTAGTAGGTCTTCAAGTGATTCGGACCCAACCAGTTCTGAAGAAGAACCTTTTGGTTCTGGTGCTTCAGAAGAAGATCCTGATTTTGAACCAGAAAACATATTGTCTTCCAGTGAATCCGAAGTAGATGGTATACCTCAAAATGTAGCTTTACCAATACGTCGTTCAGTGCACTATCCTTCTGAAACAGAGAAGCAAACTAAAAAACGAAAAAGAGTCCCAGATGAATGGCAAAAGAATAAAGCGAAACGTCTTAGAAACACAGGTAATAGTTATGAATCCATTAGAAAAATCAAGAAAAGTGATGGAAGTATCGAACGGATGAAAGTAAAGCGAGAAGAAAGAAAGATGTCCGCGCCCTGTGGGGAAAAATGCCGCTTAAAGTGTTCCACCAAAATCTCACAAGATCAGAGGCAAAAAATTTTTGAAGAATATTGGCAATTAGGAGATGTCCTGCAACAACGTGGATTTATAGCAGGCCGAATGCTTACTATTAAGCCAAAATATAGATATCAGAAAGGCAAAAATAGTAGACGTCTAAATTCTAGTTTCTTCTTCGACCTTGATGGACAAAATATTCGAATCTGCAAACAATTTTTTATGTCCACGTTAGGTATTACCAGTAGAGTTATTCGAACGGTTACAGAAAAACAAGATTCGATGACTAAAGGAATTCTTAAACAAGAAATGAGAGGAAAACACACCAACCACTATTCAATTTCCAATGGCATAAAAGAAGATATTAGAGCCCACATCAATTCTATTCCAAGAATTCCCAGTCATTATTGTAGGTCGCAAACTAAAAAGGAGTATATTGAAGGTGGTAAGACTGTGAGAGATTTATACAGGGATTACAAAAATATCTGTCAAGAAGATAATAAGCCTTACGCAAACTACTTAATGTATTATATTATTTTCAATCAACAGTTCAACATAGCATTTTTTATTCCTAAGAAGGATGCATGTGAATTATGTCTTGCGTACACAAATGCCAACCAGGAGGAAAAAACCCACATGAAAAATAAATACGACACTCATCTGAAAGAGAAAGAATTATCTCGATCAGAAAAGCAAGCCGATAAAGTTTCAGATAAAGTAGTCGCTGTGTACGACCTCCAAGCGATATTACCATGCCCAATCGGTAACGCCTCAAGTTTCTATTATGTGTCAAAACTTAATGTCTTCAATCTAACTATGTTTGAATTGCAAACAAATCAAGCATATCGTTATCTCTGGCACGAGGCAGAAGCCAAAAGGGGTGCTGATGAAATAGGTTCATGCGTGTGGAATTATTTACGAAATTTGCAAGAAAACGTTTCAAACTCGGACGACAAATCAAAAGTTTTAGATATAATTTTTTACAGTGACAATTGTGCGGGACAAAATAAGAACCGATTTATCATGTCTTTATACACTTATGCAGTTTCAAATTTAAAGTCTGTACAATCTATAACTGACAAATTTTTTATCGCTGGGCACACGCAAAATGAGGGCGATAATGTACATGCCATTATTGAAAAAGCAGTTGCCAAAATTCGCAAATCTGGGTCCAACTATGTGCCTGAGCAGTACGCAACAATAATCGGACAGGCAAAAAAAAAATGGGAAACCATTTTCTGTTAATGAAATGTGTCACAAAGATATCCTTGACCTGAAGGATCTTTCTTCTCGGCTCGGCATGAAACCTAATTTCAAAAATGAAGAGGGTGAAACCGTTAAAATCACCGACTTAAAAATGTTTATGGTAAAGAAAGAGTGCCCGGGAGTGCTATTCTACAAAACCTCTTACAATGAAAAGGAGTATTCACAAGTCAACATTTTACATTTGAGGCGCCAAAAACCAGATTTCTCTTCGGTGAAGTTAAAAAATGCTTACAAGGCAAAAGTCGGTATTACAGAAACTAAAAAAAAAAATCATTATTATCATTGTTTAATAAAAAACCTGACAAACGAGTGGTCCCAATGTACTATTTCGATTTTTATGATAGATTATAGACTTTCTACCTACATATTTTCTGTGCTGTTCTTTAAATATTTTTATTTGTTTATTTCTGTAAATTTAAATAAATAAAACTGTATTTTCGACCATAAATTACTCCATTGTTTTATTTTGTGTCAAACGTTTCAATCAAAAATGTTAAAGAAATTTTGGGAAAAACTGTCACAAATGCTAATTTCAGGTAAAAAGGTGAGGACAGGTAATGTCTTTCTATTATATTTAAGTGATTATAACGGGACCCTTAAGGTTATAAAATATTTTACCCCTTATTTTTTACCTTAAAAAAATTATGATGAGAACTAGCACATTGAGATTTTAAAACATCTCTCCTGAAAATTAATACTTTTCCACTTGTGACAGTGTTCTTACAAACCAACGATATATTAATGTTGTAGAATGTGGTATATGAAGAAAAAGTGAGGACAGCTAAATACAGTTTTAATTTGTTCATTGACTTGTAATCTTAACATAAAAGGGAAAATCTACTAAAACTGTGGCATAGGACAGAAAAACATGTACTGTTTGAGAAAGAAATATCAAAAACTGAACAGGTTTGATATTTGAAACATTCATATGAAGAGCAGATTTTGCTAGTTATGATAGTCACAGTAAAAAAAATGAAATCTTTGGCTCGAAAGTCTGCATTCACCTCTTGAAGTATTGGTAGCTGCAATTTAGTTAGTTTCCTAATTTAATGTACATATCTAGGGGGGTGGTTTCAGGTCCATCTTAGGATGAAAACTTCAAATGATCGAATATCTTAAATGTTTTAACTTATGAAACACAGGGTGTAAAAGTCAAAAAAATAAATCCATGATTATGAATATCCGTATTACCACTTAATGAAATTTGGCATACATGTAAACGTGTCAAGAGGCACTCTTTTAATTTTACGTGCCTGTATTTATAGACAGTGATGGTATGCTGTTTATTTCTCTTATTGAAATTTTCAATCACTTCGAAGCAAAAATCGATGCGAAATGTTTTTCAATCTGATGCACGGTTTTTATAAAACCGATCATAACAATATTGTTAACATGACAATATCACCATGCAGAGAATTTTTTGGGTGGAAATAGTGGGTCGGACATGAAAAATTGAAGTCTTTTAGTCTGACGCACGGTTTTCGCCTGAAAAATACAATCTATTTCGCGACATAGTGACATTGTCATACTAACGATATTAGGATCATGCAAAGAAACATTATTTTATTTTTGTAAGCGAATACCGTGCATCGGAGTGAACAAAAATTAAGCAATCAAATTTGCCTAGAAATGACGGGATTTGAATGAAAAGTTTTTATTTTAAGAGAAATCAGTTGCGTACTATCATTGTCAAAATAAGCAAGTGAAATCGGTACGAACGTTGCTGGTGGAAATCAAAAGAAAATTCGTACATTAAAAATACCTCTTGATAGTACATATATGCAGAATTTTAATAAAGTATTTAAAGTGATATTACAGATCGTAACAAAAAAATGATTGATTTTTAAAAAGCTTGCTACCCTGTTACTCAAACGTCAAGACGTTTAGGACATACAATTATATGAAGTTTTCTTCTTAAAATAGAACCAAAAGTTGTCCTCTTAAACATTGACATTCAATTGGAAAACAACTTATATATTTTATGTAAGTTTGATTTTATTAAAAAGGTTATTGTAAAACATTATTGTAGTTTTTCATTTTGGATATGTTTTTTTGACTATATATTTGTTCATATTTCCTGTTATTATTTGTACATTTTACATATAAAGACTTCATTTGATTACTGATACTTAGGTATTTTGACATACGATCTATGAATTCCTTAACAATTTTATGTATCATATTTTCCAGTTGGTACTTGCAGAATATAAATAAAAGTATACTTGGTACAATAAATATTTTTGATTCTACATTGTACACCCACAGTAATACAATAGGTTCGTTCAAAAATATCTAGAAATATAGATGTCATCAATTTTTTATCCTTGACATTAACTAGATTACCTATATGCTATTTTCTACATTACAAGCTATGTAAATAGGGCTAAAAGGATATCTAATCAATTGCAAAGAAATCTTTCTAGTTTGAGAGGAACATTACACAATTTTGGAAAGTTAATTAACTCTAGGTATCAAACTTCTTGAAATATCCAACTTAAATACATTGACTCTTCTTTTTTTCCCTCTAATAACATTCCTTACACTGGAGTTATTGTCTTGGAACAATATCTTGTACCCTGGGCTTATCAGGATTGGATGTTCTTTCAGCAATGCAAGTAGATCTGAAAAAATAGTATTATAAGCCAAGGTGATTTCTTATGCTTCTCCTAAGTACCGATATAACCATAAGTGTTAAAATATGTATTTCATATAGCATTTTTGCTAGATCACTGAATTCTTATTCAACCTATGGCATGAGCTTTTCGAGATTTTGTCAAATAGAAATGTTGATTACAATATTCAAATAGCCACTTTATCAAGTTGCATGTGACATTTTATCTCTCACATGCAACATTAACCATTAGACATTTGAGAACCACCTTCCCAGGCATAACAAAGCTCCTCTTGAACTCAATAGCCACTTTATCAAGTTGCATGTGACATTTTATCTCTCACATGCAACATTAACCATTAGACATTTGAGAACCCCCTTCCCAGGCATAACAAAGTTCCTCTTGAACTCAATAGCTTTTAACTTTTTTGAATATACAGTCTTATGCCTACCTTTAATTTACAAATTGCAGTGTAACACATGTCAGTAACAAAAAGCAAATTCCCTTATTCCAGTAAGGTTGGCTCCTTCAAACATGCTTTCAAGTGCCTGGATGCATGAAATCCATTCTTAGGAGGATCACTCGCCTCTTTATCCTTCCAAAATAGATATGGAGTTTTGTATGAAATATCACGATGGTTTATATCTGCAAAAAGATGCATAGATAAAATTTTACACCTTGGTGTGGGCTACAATTTTATAATGATATTTTTTAGAGTTACAGTCTGGGTAAGGTTCCCACTAATATAAAAAAATACCAGATAGGGCAGGGCATGTTTAAACTCAATTTCACAGCATTTACACATTATACATACTTGTAGCCTGACACCATGCATTCCAAAGTCTAACAATGATTTGTGAACAGCCATCTCCATCAACAATGCAGTTGCACTTCGGATACAATGTTTCTTATCCAACATCTCATAAAGTCTGTGAGAACGAACCACATCTGAAAAAAATGCGATAAGTATATATAAATATGAATATGCAATTTTTAAAAAATTTGTAACTTACCAGCTTCATCGAGGAAAGGAACAACTTGGATGAAAGCTGTTAGGCAAATATATATAAATGCACATCCATTTGCAGTAAATTGTTGATTTTAGATCATTAATACCAGATTGTTCAATGTAGGAAACTATTATTGAATGATCAACACTATTTGCAAGAAAATATCCTTCGGCATTTGATTGTTTGATTCATCTGTCTGAAAATTTTAAACATCAAAATAGATTCACAACCTAAGGTCACAATTGACTTCTGATTGACAGCAGACTTGAAAGGTAAAACATGGTGTATTTTTTAATTCACCGGTTGAGCAACCGGTGCCACCGGTGGACCAGACATCTGTCCTTTTAATTCAACCGGTTGCTGCCATCACCATACAAAGCTGTCAACAGTGTCAACCATAAGCATCAGTGGTGGAATCAACCGGTGAATTAAAGAATCCACCTACATACATGTACCTCACCGAAGAAGACGTAATATTATCGAAATCAAGGAGGCCATAAACGCGCCCTGCAATCCTAGGGACGACTGACGATACGGGCCTAAATATCACTTTAACTGCAAGTTTAACGTGGAGTGTCCAACGAGGGAGGACTGGCATGCCGGTAGCCGGAGGCTCTCCGGAGTGAGCGGGCAGGTCTGGCACACGCTCGGTCACCGAAGAGGGTTCTGGCGCCGGAGTCTCTGGGCCTAGACCTAGTCTATTTCTGCCTCTCGGTGGATACACCAGTATTTTCCAGGTGGAAATCTTTGCGATTCTGGCTTGTGTATCTCGCATTCTGGAGGAGGGTGGGCCTAGGAGAAGAATGACAATCTTATCCGACAGCCAGGCTGCAATGAAGGCCGGGAAGACTTCGAGTCTATTGCAATGCAGGGAAGCTCTGGATTGTCTCGCAGCGAGGCATCCGGTATCGTTAATGTGGGTACTGGAACACGCTGAGATAAGAGGCAATGAGACGGCGGACGCTCTGGCGAAGACAGGATCAGCCAGCAAGCTCATTGGTTCTGAGCCAACCTTAGGAGTTTCCGCGCAAAGACTTAAAGAGGAAAATTGAGAAGTGGATTGCAAGACAACACTCTCAGAGATGGAGATGCATCTCCGACGTCAGGCTCGGGAACTCATTGTAGGGCCCAGCGCTAAGGATGGACGTTTCTGCTCATCTTTGGATAGAGCCAAAGCCAACCTAAGGTTGCCGGTGGGACTGTTGTCTGGCCATAACACGTTAAGGCGACACCTGCACCTGATGAGGGTGACTGAGGATCCCTTGTGTGTGCGCAGCGGGGTAGAGGAATAGACCTCGACTTAGCTTCGCTAGAGGTCTAAGAAATGCAGAGGTGCATAAGGGCCCGCTTAAGCGGCCTATGCGCTGGCTCCTCATGGTGGCCGTAATGCCTCTAATTTCATGATTCATTATTGCTACTCTTGATGTTACTGCAAAAAACCTAGACGCACACTATTTATACACAGGAAATCTATAATATTAATAACACCATCATTAGTCTTATTGTTTTGTTTTTCTTGCAGCTAGCAACACAGTAATCCAGGTGACAAGATAGATATATAGATAGATAGTTTATTGTCCTATTAGATCATGTTTACATGATATAAGACTTTTGTCAATATCAATTTGAGGGTCATACATGCGTTTAAGCAAATATGCCGGAAAAATACTCATAATTATAAAATAAATAAGGACATTACAATTATAAAACATTTCAACAGTTAAATCATAATATAGGTACAGCGCAAGAATCGGAATGTGTTCAATCTGTAACGGTAAAAATATATACATATACAGCGACTTTTTTTATCACAAAAAATGTTGGTCTAGCCGGTAAAAATCATTGAAGCTGATACAAAAATCAATTTCAAGCGGATAACCAAATGAAAATGGTATTTACCATTTTAGGTTGGTATTTACCGATCCGTTCAAGCGAGTGTGGTTATCAGCTTGGTTATAAGATCCGTGACGTCATGAATCAGCTGTTATATGTCATAGTTATCACTGCAAAATTGTGGTATTTACCCAACTCGGGAGTAGTTTTATATTTCTGGTTATTATTTGAAATGTGACAAGTTAGAATTTTGCCGGGTATTGGACATTGTTATTGCACTTCAGCTTCATTTTTGGGAAACTTGATACAGGCTGACTTCAGTTTTACCATAAAGTGGAGCACCTTATTAGTTATACTCATTACTGTTGTTGACACTTTAAATGTAGTTCCTAAGCGTAACAAAGTAGCCATATACCACAAGAATATTAAAATATGGCCATATAAACTCACTAGATGATGTCCACCTGTATACGGTTTTGCTAATTTCTTTTTTCATCATTTCTGCTGAATCAATAAATGTTTTCTTTGACATGCGGAAAACTTTAGAGAATTGAAAGTTATCATAGCTACATAGCCATGGTTCCATCATTAAAAAAAAATCTTGAAAAGAAACATTTCTCCCATGAATATATGAAAGGTTTCTTATTTAAACTTTCCATACACAGTTGTAGACGAAATAGCACCGATTATTAAGTGATAATAAAAATAATCAGAGATTATATACGCGCTTTTCTAAAATAAACAACTTGCAACAAAACCGCGGTTAAAACCAACGCGTTCAAGCGATTCGTGTAACTGACGTCATCAACCCGTGTGTCATCTTGAACCATATTATAACCGCGGCACATAACACAGAAATTTTGGTTATTCGCTTGGATTTGATTAAAGAATAACTAGGTCAACTGTTAAAACGTATGTCTATCCCGGAGCACCGATGAAGCCATTTCAAACGTCAAGGCGTCGATATTCATTTGCATTTTTTTGTTGTGCAAGTACTCGGGAAAAATTTCGCTACAGATAGTCTTCTAAAGTCTAGTAGAGTATGTTTCAAAAGTTGTCTTGCGTGTCCTGTCCATGTTATCTCTACTCGGGCATTACTTATTACTTTCATACATCAATGTCTCACACACATACATATCTTAAACCGGTCCCACACGATGTGGCGAATGCCTTACAACGTTGGGCACGTGGCATTCGCCACATCGTGTGTGAGAGCGCTGACGGATTACAAGCGTCCAACGTTTGCCACATGGCACGTTCGGGCTCTTGTCGGTAAATTTGACCCGCGTCAGAGGACGTTACAACGTTGGAAGCATGGTTCGTTACGCTCCCACACGAGATTTCATGTGTTTGATGGCTTTAGGTTAGAACCAGTAGCAACGAAAAACATTATGTACCTGTTTGCTGTGATTCTGGTTAAGTAGTGGTATGTGGGAAGTATTTTGATTTGAATACCTACTAATGTATGTTCCGTAACTAACTTTTGAGGAGAATGAATTAAATTAGTATACATATAGGCTGCCACTTTTTTCATATTGCTTATATTTTGTACGTTTCGCACCTGAGTTATGGATGGCCTATGGATATGTATTTTAGTAAATTATAAATTATCAAGTGCTTATAGTTGTTTCATTACAATGTCTTGTTGCAATGTAAGACTAGTTGAGAAATATATTGACTTGCATTGCATAAATAACGAAAACGATTAAATAAATGATAGCTCTGAAAGTACTATCAGGATTTTGATGAAATTTTGACCCTAGGTTACTACTATGAAAATGACAATTTTGAAAATGGATGGCGACGGAGTTATCATCGAAAAACAAACAAAAAACGGTCAAACTTTGTTTTTCGACATTTCTGAGGCCTCTGACAGACTTAAGTTTAGGCCGCTGAAGACATATCTGAAATTATTTTTCGGCGCTCGAAAAAATTGTTTTATCCTTCATTTTGTACACAAAGTTGTATACACCCCACAATTGGCAAGCGTGTCTCCTACACGATGGGATGAACTTTTTAGTCTCGGACGTTCGACGCATGGTGGTGCCATCGTCTAGTATCGGTGTCAGTGTCGCGCTTGAACCTTTAAAACTGAAGGAAAAATAATACAAAATTGTTTCATCGTTCATTTTTTACACAACGTTGTATACACCCCACAATTCGCAAGTGTGTCTCCTACACGATGGGATGAACTTTTTAGTCTAGGACGTTCGACGCATGTGGGTGCCAACGTCTATTATCGGTGTCAGTGTCGCGCTTGAACCTTTACAACTGAAGGAAAAATAATACAAAATGAACGAATAAACAATTTTTTCAAGCGCCGAAAAATAATTTCAGACCTGTCTTCAGCGACCAAAACTTAAGTCTGTCAGAAGCTTCAGAAATGTCGAAAAACGAAGTCTGGCCGTTTTTTGATTGTTTTTTCGACGATAACTCCGCCGCCATTGTATCGATTTTCAAAAACTGCAGAGCTTTTTCGTCAATTTCATAGTAGTAATCTAGGGTCAAAATTGCATACCATTTATTTAATCTTTTTCGTTAGTTATGAAATTCAAGTCAATATATTTCTCAACTAGTCTTGCATTGCAACAGGACATTATAATAAAACAACTAGGCCAGCCATAACTCACCTGCGAAACTTACAAATTACTATTCATAAATCATTACTAATTTAATTCATTATTCTCAGAAGTTAGTCACGGAATATACATTATTATGAATAGGTAGGTATTCAAATCAAAATACTTCACCACAATCACAGCAAATAAGTAAATAATGTTTTTCGCCGCTACTGGTTCTAACCTAAAATGATCAAACATATGACATATCGTGTGGGAGCGTAACGAACCATGCTTCCAACGTTGTAACGTCCTTTAACGCGGGTCAAATTTACCGACAGGAGCCCGAACGTGCCATGTGGCGAACGTTGGACACATGTAATTCGTCCGCGCTCTCCCACACGATGTGGCGAATGGCCATGTGTCCTACGTTGTAAGGCATTCGCCACATCGTGTGGGACCGGTTTTACGTTATGGTGAGGTGGTTTAACGAGGGGAAAGATTTTCTAATTTTGAAGAGAAACTAGCACTTGTTAACAGCGATCGACGAGACGTTTTTCCCCACGATCCATACATTAGAGTGTATATTATATCGCATAAATATATCAAAACTGGTATATCCGATTATCGACGAGACACAGAAATCAAATCCAAGCGAACAACCAAAATGTCTGTGTAATGTACCGCGGTTATAGTATGGTTTAAGATGACACACGGGTTGATGACGTCAGTTACTCGAATCGCTTGAATGCGTTGGTTTTAACCGCGGTTTTGCTGCAGGTTGTTTATTTTAGAAAAGCGCGAATATTATACCTAATTTCTGATTATTTTTATTATCACTTAATAATCAGTGCGTCTACAACAGTGATATGGAAAGTTTAAAAAAGAAAACTTTCATGATATTAATGGGAGAAATGTTTTTTTCTCAGAAGATATTGTTCATGTGTTGAATCACTTGAGAAAATCGCTCTTATGTTCACACAAGTTTGTCATGAATATAAAGGATATGACGCCCAAAATGTTAATGGTGGAACCATGGATTTGTAGCTATGAGAACTTCCAGTTCTTTAAACTTTTCCGTATGTCAAAGAAAACATTTATTGATTTAGCAGAAATGATAGGAAAAAGCGACGAAAAAAAGATATTAGCAAAGCCATATACAGGTGGTCACTATCCAGTGAGTTTATATGGCCATATTTTAATATTCTTGTATTTGGCTACACAGGATACTTTGTTAAGCATAGGAACTAGATTTAAAGTGTCCCCAACAACAGTGTTGAGTATAACAAATAAGGTGCTCTACTTCATGCTAAAACTGAAATCAGCCTACATCAAGTTTCCCAAAAATAAAGCTGAAATGAGAGACATTAGTGAAGGTTTCAAGAAGTATCCAGGTAAGTAAACGTTTCTGAATACTGCAAGCCTAGGGTGATACCACCCCCTGCATTTCACACAATTACTTCCCTATTGTTACTTTATATTACCCCAGATTTTCTCAGTATATTTCCCCAGAAACCGATCAATATTTCCTTGGTGGTTACCCCTTCATGTAAGGCCTAGTCATTCATGTTTTAGAGACAAATAGGTATTTAGTACAATTACTATATATTATATTCAAACTTTTTTGGTTGGTCCTAATTGATGCCATCACAACCTGTCCTGTAATAGTATTTATTGGAATATGCATATGTATTTAGTTAATAAGTTACATCTGTTTCCACTTTTCAGTTTATTATTATTTTCAGGATTTATTGGAGCAGTAGATGGTACCCACATATTTGTAAATGTTGAAAAAGGTCAACAAGATAGCTACATAGACTGCTATAGAAGAACATCTATAAATCTCATGGCAATAAGTGATTCTAACACTTTATTCACCTATGTGTTTTTAGGATACCCTGGATCTGCTCATGACTTAAGGGTTATGTGTTAACAAAAATAAGAAACCGCCCCATTTTGAAGTGAATATTTATTATGTCTTTATTATATTGCAATAAAACTTCAAACTAGTGTTTAAGAGGAAGTGAAAAAAGCTTTGCACCAGTTAAATTTTGGTATACAACACATTATAGGAAAACATTAATATTTTTTTATATTTTTATACTTTAATTTCAGGTTTTTGAAAATTCAATTATGTGCAAAAACATTGAGAGACATGGGCCAAACTTCTACTTTTTGGATACTCAGAAATATCATATAATTGGTGATAGTGCATTTGCATTAAGAACTTGGCTTATTACTCCTTACCGAGGCGACAATGTGACCAGAAAGCAAAAGTTTCACAATGACTGCCTTAGTTCCGACAGAGTAAAAATTGAACATTGTTTTGGGGCATATAAGGGTAGGTGGAGATTGCAACAGCTGCATGTTTTACACAATTTTTGCATTTTGCATAAAGACACCTAGAGTAACGATTTTTTTGGAATTGACCTGGACAGAAATATAAATCAGGCTGAACTAGAAGATAGGGGTATATGCAGATATAACATAGAATAATATTATTGTACCATTTTTCAATTTAAATTGAATAAAAAACACAATTATTGGTTTGCATTTTAATTTATTTATCTCTACTTTCATTTTAACTTAATTATTACTCTACACACAAGGTTTGTTAGTTATCACAAAAGGTATATTACCTTTTTTATGGATGGATTGAATTCTACACATTGGCAATATCTTCCTTGAATAAAACTAAATTATTAGAACAAGAAACTATTTATTACACAATTTAAAAATCTCAAATAAAAACAAAAAGAAATAAATATTAATCAATATTAATCCCAGTCAGTGTCAGAATCGTTTGTGTCACTCTTTCTTCTTTTTTGTGTCCCAAAAGCTGCCTCAACAATTTCTAAGAACCTGTGCTTTTGTTGTTCTGTTTTCTTCAAATGTTCTTTCAAAAAACTAAATTCTTCACTTCTTATTTTTCTATCCATTTCCATTACCTTATGTTTGCATCCTAAAAATTATATTGGTAAGTACTTCCACCTGTTTTGACTAAGGAATCTAAAGGCACACATTTTTGTTTTTTGATGGTTCATACCAGAATTTTTATAATTACAAACATGACAGAAGAAAAATTAAAATATAGTCATGACATACAATAATAATACTACATGCTTGCTTAAGATAGTAATGTGAAAGTAAAAGAAGATATTAAACTAACCTAGAATGGAGTGGAGCTCATCAAAAAATGGAGGAATGTCATCAATTCTCTCACTTCCTGTTGTAGTTTGATGTTTCATGTAAGATAAATAAGTTTTTTGCAAATTCGCAAACTTTTGATGACACCGCTCTCCTCCTTTGTTCCCAAGATGGAAATTATTTTCCTCAAACTCTTTTGCTATGTCATTCCACAATTTAAGTTTTCTAGTTCTTTTGTCGTCAAAGTAAGTACTTTTTTCCTCTCTTAAGGACAACATTAAATGAGTTGCTTCATAATCCATTTCAGAAGGCTTCTTCTTTGTCCAAATCATATCATTAATAGATGGTTGAATGGTCGAGTCATTTTCATTGTGAGGCATAGACCACATAGATTGAAAATCATTCTGACGTTGATTTTCGGAGTCATTGTGCTCATGCTGAGACCCCAATGGACACATATAATATATTGCTCTGCAAACCTATTTGAATATAAAAAATATGCCACTCTCATAATTGATAAATCTTAAAGCAAAGTATGAGAGGTATCAAGTTCTGATACAGAGTTTATTATTGAATATGTGCATACCATGTAGAAAAGTCACATAATATGTAGGTATCTAGAATCAATAGGGTCAGTTTTACCTTGCACCCCACCTCTTTAATATTTAAATAGCCCAGAAATATCAGGCTTTTTCTACAAGGTATACAATATAGGTACTATTCCTTGCTTATCATACTATATAGTTACCATTCAAAAGTAAATTGGCTGTTTCAAGGTCTTTAACGCAGACCTCGTAGTCTACGCCTTCATAGTTTAAAGTTAGATGAAATTGCTCCATATTATTTTCAATTTAATAAGGAACTGCAAAACTGCTCTTTTAAACGCGCATATAACCTCACAAGTACGACGAAAATATCCAATACCCGCCAAAATTCTAACTTGTAACATTTCAAATAATAACCAGAAATATAAAACTGCTCCGGAGTTGGGTAAATACCACAATTTTGCGGTGATAACTATGACATATAACAGCTGATTTATGACGTCACGGATCTTATAACCAAAATGATAACCACGCTCGTTTGAACGGATCGATAAATACCAATCCAGAATGGTAAATACCGTTTCCATTTGGTTATGCGCTTGAATTTGATTAGAGACTGCCCATCTCTAGCAAAAAATGTTCTCGTATTACTTCAATTATGTCACTTGTCATGTCAATTGCGTTTCTGCTTTCTGTCAGTCTGTCAATTTTCCCCCATCCCCCATCCTCCATAGAAGTTCTTGGGGTGGAAAATCCGTGTTTCCACTTTCATTCTCATATTTTATTAGTAAACAGGTATGTCCCCATAATATTTTTCAATAAACGAAAGCTCTCGTTCCTTTGCATATCTGTGTATCTGGTTTTGTCCATTTGAAGGTTCAGATGCATTGGCCATTATGTAATACTACATTATCAAATAGCTGATTGCAACATTTTTCCAGCCCCAACAATGTCTGGTTCAGTAGGAAAGGCTGCCAAGCCCCAACTGCGAGGTCTTCTGCACCAGCAAATTAAGAGGAACATTCTTTTGGCTGCTGCCGTTGCCACTGCCGCTGCAGTTGTCCAGAAGGTTTTCGTGAACAATCCCCGTATGCAGGTCTACGCCGATTTTTACAAGTAATGTGACCCTATCTTGATAGAGGTCTTATGGAAATAACAATCAATATGTTTCAGGACCTACGATATTGAAAAAACTTTCCACCAAATGAGAAACAAAGGGCTGTTTGATTCATGTGAACCTGATAACTAATTGAAGTTACTCGAATGGTTGTAGTCATTTTGTTGAATTATTATGTGTAATAAAATACTTAAAATAGGTTATTTCAGAAAGTTTCATTTCCCGGTGGTTTCTGCCTTGCAGTGTTCCAGGCAGTTGCCGTGGAGTTTTTTTGTACCGATTTGCCGTATATCATAGAAACAATTGCTGTACGGCTGGAACTTTTTAATAAAATCGTTAAGTGCTTAAGTATCTTAAAAATATAGTTTTTTAATAAAGTTTTGGGAAATTCCGCCATTTCGCTCAAAAACCTCATCACCCAAGTTACGACAACGTTGCCAAGTATAATAAAATATTACTCTCAAATACCGAATATGCACAATTCTTACATTAACATTAATAATGTTGTATAGAAAGATTTTATAATGCGGCCCTCCAAACTGCATTTTTTTTTTGGAAGTCGGCCTTGGGCCACATTAAATTGGACAGCCCTGGCCTACAACATGACAAACCTTGTATGAACGAATAAAATCTGAGATAGCTCTCTACAAACACGAATAGAGAGAGTTCTTAGTGCAATAAATATAACGAATCGTTAAGTCATTGTTACTTTTGACTGAAATAACGGAGGTTGATGAAAAAAAAGGAACGTAGTAATTTTTTGACTACTGACAGCGATGACAGGTTATTTTTTTCTTATTTTGACGTGAAGCTAACTCCACACCTCCTTAAATTTTTTCAGTGTACTTTTACTACTCTAATAATTTTAGCGTTCGTAATTGTTTGTCGTATATACCTATTCCATACGTTCGGAAATTGAACAAATAAGTAATCCTTCTGGAACGTCAAAAGTGTGCTTTTCTTCCCGTGCTCAAATTTAGAAATAAAAGTGTTGTCACTTCGCGTTCGCGTGGTTCAATGTCTATTTACCTTATTTGGTTATCAAAATGTGCTCAAAATTGACTGTATATATATTTTTCACGATAAATGGGCTATAGTTGTAGTCACCGTTCTTGGCGGTTAGGTCATCAACGCCATATGAAATAAGTAAACAGATCGAATCTCCGTACCATGGGCGCAGCCTAATCTTCCGCGCATCTGCTACTCTCTCCAGTACGCATGAAGTGGGTAACAGGGGACCGCTGTTTTACATTCTTTTCCTGGAAATACTCTAATAAACTTAGCACGAGCTGTCGACCTTCTCCGTTGATCGTATTTCCGGGCATTGTACAATGTTATATTGAAGATTGATAACAGGACAACGCAAATTGCACGCCGATGTCAAGTAAGTAGTCGCTCTGACAAATATGATTGGAGGACACCATTGGGCACTCATACGTAACGACAAAGTTTTCGAGACGGAGACACACAAATAAAAAACGTATGTATGTCTTTGAGTTTACCGAATAAACGTCCACACAGAGGTAGGTTGCATGTGTTTGTATGAGGGAGATGGAAATATAAATATAAAGAGATACTGGTAGTCTTACTTTGACACGCCAAGAACGGTGACTACAATTATACCTCATCTCCATAGGGTTTCTTATAGGACTCACGCAGACAGAAAGCGTTCCGGGTTTGCGTTCCACGTTCTTTGTAAGTATAATAGATCTCTATAGCATCGCGCAAACACAGCGGGAGTCAGAACGCGCCAGTCAGTGTGATCGCTCGCGTTCTTGCTTTCTATTGTCAGAAATACAAAGAACGAGTTCGCAAGATGGCTTCCATAGAAAAATTAATTAATAAAAGTTAAATCTTTCTTTTGTAGATATAGCATTTCTCCAGTTGGTGTGTTGTTTCTCTATTTCCTTTTCCATATAATCATGCAATTCATTAAAACTACTTAATGACATTCGGAATTGACCAGACGAACGCGGATTGAACGCTGAACGCTTGTCAGTCTGCGCGAGCCTTAAATGTCGGCGAACAGCGACCAGACTGCAAGATGAAATTTCCTTAGTTTTTTGACGTTTTTTAGGTTTTTTACATACTACCGGCATGGGTATTACGTATCTTGAAAAGCGGGTTTTTCTACAAGATGTTAACTTATTACTAGCTGATGGACACGTTGTGAACTCGTTTTGTAGTTGTACGTGTTACCAAAACCTCATGATGCTTCAGTTATAGTTGTAGACACCGTTCTTGGCAGTTATGTCATCAACGCCATATGAAATAAGTAAACAGATCGAGTCTCCGTACGATGGGCGGTACACTACGCAGACTAATCTTCAGCGCATCTACTAATCTCTCCTGTACGCATGAAGTAGGTAACAGGGGACCGCTGTTTTCATTCTCTTCTTGGAAATACTTTTATAGATTTAGCATGAGCTGTCGGCCTTCTCCAATGATCGTATTTTCGGGCATGGTACAATTGTATATTGAAGATTGATAACAGGACAACTTGAATTGCACACCGATGTCAAGTAGTCGCTCTGACAAATATGATTGAAGGGCACTCATACGTAACGATAAAGTTTTCGAGACGGAGACACACAACTTAAAAACGTAAGTATTTGAGCTTAAGGAATAACGTTCACACTCAGGGGTGGTTGCATGTGTATGTATGAGGGAGATGGAGATATATAAAGAGATACTAGTAGTCCTACTTTGACCCGCCAAGAATGGTGACTACACCTATATCAATGTTTGATGGGATGTAAAATCTGCTTCAGAGATGGCATTACTTGAGTTAACAGCAATCAGGTGAATAGTGTGGATCACAATGTTTCTTCTCCAGTTGGCATCGGAGTAAAATGGGGTCAACTAGCACATATACAAATTCAGGAACTCTTTAAGTGTCTTAAGCTACACCAAAGTGGTTGGTGAAACCGAAAAAATGTAAAAACTTGGAGACATTGAATATATTATATAGTACATCTACAAAGTTGCTATACAGCATTAAAATTGTATGAACAAACTGTTTCAGCCTCTTAACATTTTGACTTCCCTTTAAAAATATACAGGGTGTCCGCAAAGTTGGGGTTTTCCTTTTCAGAAACAACTACCCTTGAAATAACAAAGGTAATGTGTAGTGAAACGAGGGCGACCAAGTAAAAAAAAAATAAAGGAAAAAGTACTCACTCTCCAGTTGACGACAAGGGCTAAGTACGTCTCTGCCCGAAATCATACCGCTCCAACAGAAAATGAAATCAGCTGAAGCGCTACCGAGCAGACGCAGAAACACATCTTCTAACAAGGAAGGCAAAATGTTGCGTGAAAAGTCTAGGTATTGCATCCCGTCCAATCGATTTGGGAGAATAAATGGTCCAATGAGCATACCGTTCACCATGCCAGCCCAAACATTCACCGAAAATGTTTGTTGAAAATGACCAAACATGAGTGTTGCGAAAGTTATTCACCCCATTACGCGTGAACGTAGATTCGTCTGTCACCAATATGCACTTCAAAAAGTCCGGATTATTGTCATGTTGATGCAACAACCACTCACAAAACCGCACTCTTACTGGAAAACCGTCAGGTTGAAGGGCTTGTACACGTTGGACGTGAAACGGATACAGCCCCTCTTCACGCAGCGTTTGCCACACTTTAGTTTTTGATACTTGCACTTCTCTAGCCCCGTTTCTATTGCTTGTTGTTTTTTGAAACGCAATCGATTATACGAGTTCGTTTACCTCTACACGCGTGACTGTAACCGTCGGTTGAAGGTTGCATACTAACCTGACACACTGACCCCGATCCAGTTCTGCCGTCGGGTTGAGACCTTGTACCAGTCGGGGATATCCCGGCGGGTCGCGGCTACAGGACGGTATTCAGATATTTTTGATGTTGCAGAGCCCTTTATCTCGGTTCCCTTAAGACATTGGTGTATATGGTACTAAGAAAACCCTGTATATTGGACATGTCTCAAAAAGAAGTCCTGAAATATTTATGACTGTTGACTCCCAAAAAGTTTTATTTATCGACGACTGTGCAATATTGTACAGCTGTTTCCTTTAAGTTTTTCGACTGTAGGTTTTTAACGCCATCTAGAACATTTTGGCCTTATATGATAGAAGGCTATTGTGGTTGACTTGAGTTGTTTTTTAATCAACATTATGAAGGTTATTGTCAATGTATTTGATTAATGTTTATTTTGAAAATATTTTCACGAGTACATACTTAGTTTTGTGATAGAGTTCAAGTAATACATGTTAATTAAGGCTTTTTAATGATAATATATTATTGTGAGTATTTAATGTATTGAATCAAATGAAATACCTTATGTAGTTTAAGTAATGCTTACAAGCACATATTTTCATTACGGCTTTAGATCTAAGTTGAATGATTTAATTAATTGGCCTTGTATGGAGCCTTGTTCCTTGCAAGAGGCCATCCGGAACGGTTTAATAAAACTTGAATTAAATCAATAATGATTAACTCTGAAATGAAGAAAAATATTTTATAAGTTACACAATAGAACTGTTACTATAATTAAAATAAAAGAATAACTATATATCTGTTAGCCCATCGTTCCATGGTCCACTCACCTTTACTTCCCTTGCCTATTGGCGTTTTCAAAATACACTATCTTGTTTCCTTAGAAAAAAAACTGTATGTTCCTTATAAACTGAGTGGCATTGGCACCACTGCAGCGATTTTTTGACATATCATTTGTTCATGTGGCTGTGACAGCTGTCAAGGAAAACATTTTCGGTACTTCGGTAGATTCGATTTGCGGAATTAGCGCCTGTGCGCATCCAGTTTGCGCATGACGAATGGCGTCAAGTTGTTATTGTTGAGAGCGTTTAATAATTCTTAATAAGATTATGAGTGTTTTTAGAGACTTTTTACACGCAATTGTACAAAATAGTGATCGTATAGTTTAACTACACAAGTGCTACTTGAGACTTTCCAGCTGGAGTTGGTATTTGAGTGTCAAAAGTATGTCACATAAAATGGGGTATATAATGTTTCTTTGCCGTAAGCAAATCAATTTCCGTAATAAATATTAGGACTTCTGTATGAGAGGATGAGCGGAAACTGGGTAAAACTGCTACAAGGAGCTTGAAATGCACGGAATCTAAGCTTGCTAAGCGGTAGTTTTGGTGTAAGTAGCCAAATAAGTTTAAACACATGGAATAACACTCCCCCGTTTAACGAACAAGATGGCTGCGACCAGATCCATCTTTTTCAGCGATACTGGCTGCCTTGGATATTGTTACAGCGGCGAATTTATTCTATATCGTATATATTCGTCATTGCATTTAAAGAGTGAAAATATTTTGGATGGATGATAGACTCATTTTAATATTTGAAAATTTCGATTCAACTTAGTGGTAGACTTTTATTATA